ACTGAAAATGGGGGCATCTTACATGACCTCCTTGTAGTTGGTGAGGTTTTATTGACTTACATTACCTCTGATCTGTGCTGGAGTCTAGGGCTAACTTGAGTTAGGTTTAGTGAAAACTGGGACAGCGTACAGTATAACCGATCTAACGTAGGCCTGGTATAATTGGATCGTCTTAGCCTTCGATAGTAGACTGAACCTAAAAATATAAGGAAGTATTAGTTTTTTAGCAGCGTTTGATTTTACCTTGATTTTTTTGTGTGTGTGTCTTAAAGTTTAGTCTTATTAAATATCTTTATGTTTACTACTTGTACACCTGATATATATACTTACTGCCTTTTTAAAATTTTATAGCATATTATCCAAAATTCATAAACACAATATAATACATAATTTAAATATCCAATGTGTAGTCATATATTTGTTAAAAACTACCTCCTATTGAATGTTTAATAAAGAGTAATGAATTTCATTGCCCTACTTTCGCTCCGTCAAATCAGTTAGTTACAATTTGTTTTGTTGGTCTATTACGATTTTAGTTGATAAATATCTAACCGAACAATACGGTCTCCATTCATCACTAGATTCGAGTTAATTGGAATAATATTATCACTTAAGTACAATAATATTATGGAACTTATTTAACATGCAGCATATCATTTTCATCTTGTTGTATTTATCCTCTAAGGCCGTTGACCAGTATTATACTAACTAAAAATGGTTTACAATGTCAAGTAGAGGCATTAGAAAATTCTAATAACATTAAACATAGTTTAAAAAAAACCATTGGGTTAGATTTTCGTAGAAAATTTACCCATAACATCTGCTTAAAAGATGAATGTGGTCTAGGGGTGTATTCAGAGACTTTTTTGTTAACCACGCTGAGTTTTCATCTAAAAAATGATAAAATAGGTGGTACTAGCGCGAAGTTTTATACTCTGTATTTTTAAAATTTAAATAATGTTTTTAAAATGGAATAAAGTAATTTTATTATTTATTTTTATAGATTTTAATAAAATTTACTTTTACATTTTGTATAATGTATACTCCTCGTTGCGTAAATGGACTCTTACAACTATTTACTGTGACTACCCTCTTGTAAAAATCAATATTTAATATGTGCTGATTTAGAAATCTCTTTCAAAGTATAAATATGATAATTAAACTTAAAATGTTTCACTGAAATGCCGACATTAAATTTATACGAAATTATTTTAAAACGAGAAGTAGTGTTGCCCAAATGCAAGAACAAGACGAGACTTAGACAGTCTTGGTCTTGGTCTTGCACCAATACACCTGGTCTTGGTCTTGGTCTTGGTATTGCACTCCTAGTCTTGCAGTTACCCATTAGCCTATTGCTATTTATTAAACGTTACTTTAGATCATAGAACAACGTAACAGAGTAAGTACATTTTAAGCTTGAATTAACATAGCCATAATAAAGACCCACCAAATTAATTAATGTCTAAACAACTGACACCCGGTGGGGTTTAAAGCTATGATCTAAGCGATCCGTGCCTATGCTCTAACTAACTCAGCTATCTAGTATTCCCTACGGAAGTCAATCTGTTTCTTAATAAACATTTGCGTTTGCATAAGCTTACATGTGCTAAAACATGGTTAAAACACAGAAAAACCAAATTAATGACATATTCTGTATTTTAAAGAAAATTGTCTTTCTAGAAAGGAATTGATGGACCCCCAATATATATGAAATGGAAATCTTAAAAAAGATTGGTATGTGGCAAAGAATTCACATGTATCAAGGACACAGATTCTTTAGGTGATCAGATAACAAACTATAATCCACTGATTTAAGCAAAATAAATGTTGTTAACAATCGTAACTCTACTTTTATATAAAATACTAACTTGAAAAATAAGGAATAGGTAAAAAAGCAATGATAATCAAAAGAATTATTTTAAGTTAAGGAGATACCTACTTGATAAATACATTAATTTACCCAAATAAAGTAGTAGGTACATATTATATGTAATTGGTAATAAGGTAATAAGTATATTTTTTACATGTGCAGTTTTTCCAGCGGATATTAAAAAGCTTGTGATATCTCCACTGAATTTTGGATTTTTAGATGCTTAGGTATTAAATGCTTCTAAACCTGACGTATTTCTGTTTTTCATTTTCATTTCAACCTTTCTATGTAGGCACAATTTACACAAAATAATTTGGGATGTTTGAATTATTTCGAAAAACTCACCAAATTTGATTTTACGTCTTTTAGATCTACACCTCCAACATCAGTACTCCGACTAGAACTATTTGAATCTTTATCTATTATGTCAAATTGTAAACTTGTCACTCCGGGAACAACAAGGATTAGATGGAAAACAATAATAATTACATTAGACTCAAAAAAAAGCTCAATTGGGAATGAAGTTTAGTGATGTCGAAAAACTAACTACTACTAGTTACTTTATGATCGTTACTATCTGAGTGGCGCTTCCAATGGTGTTTTGGGAGTTATACCACCCCAGTGCACTATTCTGACACTGTTCCTCATAAATTTTAAGGACTCGAAATGGAGATAGCATAAAAAAAATTTCCTCCTAACAAGAAAATTCTGCGTGCGCCACTACTATCTAATACCCTAAGTACTGCATAACAAACCGAGAAACTACTATATTCGCTAAAACGTCACTCAGTCCTAACTACAAGACGCAAGAGTCTCGCAGGCTTAGTCTTGTTCTTGCTTAAGTCTTGCAAGGTCAGTCTTGGTCTTGGTCTTGCTAAAATTAGGTGGTCTTGCTCTTGGTCTTGGTCTTGCAAAAACGCAAAAGACTGCAAGACCAAGACCGATTTTGGGCAACACTAACGAGAAGTATATAGAATAAAATTTAACGGTCGATTTCATAATAACAAAGTATACCTTTAGCCCTTTAGTCTGGTTAAAAAAAGAGTGGAACATTTTTTCGCAGATATCTGAAGCTTTTAAGACATAGGTGGTCGCTACTAGATGTTAAATAGAAAAGTACTCGTATTTTTACCTTGCGTTTTTTTAACAAATAATTTATGATCACAATTTGATTTTTTGTCTATAAGTTTTTTTCCTTATATTTTAAATAAACAATATCTATATCATTTTTTTATATCAAGAATATCTTTATTTTCCGGTTTTTTTAATTAAAAATGATAAATAGTTTACGGAGATATTTGCAAAAAAGTAGTTTTTGTTGCAAAAGAGTAAACTTTGCAAATATTTTGAATGACATTCTAAACTTTATATTGAATACTTTTAGCTAATATTGAAACTTATAGCTATAAAATTTATCCAATTTTTCGAAAATTACAGCCCTTAGAAACGAAGGTACTTTCGAAAGATCGACATAGGAAAGTGGAGGGGATAACTGTTTCAGATCAGTTTTTTTTTCTTCTAATTAAAACACCTAGAAAAAATTTACATTATCTCGGCTTCCATTGCAGCTAGAAGTCTCTTTTTTTAATCTGGGTAGCTCGTAGAAATATGATTAACTACAGTTTTCACTGGCCGGGAAATATGGGAAACCTCGAAAAAATTAAGTCCATTTGAAATTCACCGTAAAAATTTACGTTTTTTTTTTAATTTGTTTGGAATAGTCTGTCGCAGTATTAATAATGATGGCATAATTTTCACCCCCCTAAAATCCCGGAAAATCCCGGAAAATCGACATAATTATAATTAATATAAGAAATTTAAATGATGATATTTTATTTATAAAATATATAAGTATTGTTATCATTATCATAAGTATTTTTCATATAAAATGAAAAAAAAAATATATGATTTTCCGGGATTATCCGAGATTTTTGAGGGAGGGGGGTGAAAATTATGCCATTATTATGAATACTGTGCGACAACAGACTATTCCAGTGAAAATTAAATAAAAACTTCTTCGTCCATTTGGTGACTTATGCATTTATGTCTTTTATATTGCATGCTCTTCTTATGTTTTCGCTTCTATCCTCATCCAACAGACTTTTCCCTGATATTCGTCGGAGTATTTTCATCTCTGTTGTTTCTAGTAGTTGTCTCGTTTTAGATGTGTCAGGTCTTATCTCCGCCGTGTATGTTAATATAGGTGTAATTGCTGCTTTATAGATTCTTGTTTTTGTGTCTTGTCTTAGGTGTTTGTTTTTCCAGATTGTGTCATGAAGAGATCCCGCCGCTTTACTTGCTTTTAAGCTTTGTTCTACTTCTTCTTCAACATCTCCGTAACTAGTTATCTCTATTCCCGGATATCTAAACGTTGCTTCCTGATTTATTATTTTCCCATCAATTTCGATTTTACACCTTGGTGGGTATACACCGTACTAGGAACCCAAGATAATGTTAATTTTTCCTACGTGTTTCAATTTGAAGTTCCGATCTCGAAAAAAACGGAGCTGAAATAGTTATCCCCTCCACTTTCCTATGTCTATCTTTCGAAAGTACCTTCGTTTCAAAGGGCTGCATCATTAATAGAGCAAGTTCAATAGTTTAAGTATTCAGCCTCAGGGATAAATAAATTAAATAACTTTTAAACTATTTGACCGATCAGGGGGAAATTTCGCACAAATTTAAAAGACGGTAATTTTTGATGTTCAAATGTATTAATAACATTTTATTTTGTTATTAAAAAAATTAATAAAATTTATAAATCAGTGCAAAAAAACTGCTTATAACAATAAAAAACGCCATGGCTCACTGCATAAAACTGGCTACGTCTTGGCGAAATTGCTATAAGGTTAGCATTGTATATCTTACCATGTACAGACTATTCACTTTGGGACAAACTATAGTAAATTTCCTCCGGCTAATACCGTCAAACTTTTTGCTTTATTTTCTAATTCTTGTTCTTCCCTTTGTCGTTTCTTTGACAGTCCATATACTGATTTTGTCCATCTTTTGATAAATTATAAAAACCTTCAAACAATATTTTTCTTTGTTCTTCAGTGCATTTTTGATAACATTTTTCCGATAGTAACATGAATGCATCATTTGATTTTCCTTTTTAATAACTATTTTTTTAGATAAGTACATACTCTTTCCCGTTCTCTTTTAGTTCTCTTCTTTTATGTTTCTTCCATGATTTATTATTTCTCATTCGCTTCCTTATCCTATCTTCTCTAGTTGTCTTTTTATTTTTATTTTGTAACATTTCATTATCAGTTGCCTCAAAATCTACTGCAACATGGTATTCTGCTCCACCTGATATATCTGATGGCGCATAATCAGAGTCGTCAAATGAATCATCGTCACTCTCAGGAACATGCTCTATTTCTTCTAGGCTACAATGTGTCTGAAAAAATTAACAGTTAAGTAATGTATAGGTAGTTTGCCAATGAAAGTTTTTGTCAGTAGGTAAATAATAATATACCTACCTACAAACAAAAGCTTTTTTGTAACCAATAACTTTTAAATTATTACGTCAAAGGGAATTTCCTTTAGTGTTGTTAATTGTTTAGTACTTTGCTCCCCAAAGAATTCTTCCCTATCGGAAAATACCTAAAACGTGAATTATGAATTTTCCACACAAAATAGAAAACAAAATTAATGACAACATACTAAGAAGGAACACACAAATAGTTTATCTACTTACCCATTTACTAGGAGTTAAAGGGCGTAATGGTATTATATTATTGCTAACGGTACAATTTGTATTTTTACAAATAACAGTAATAACTTACTGTTTTTAGAAAACAATCTACAGTTTTTTTAGAATTTGTAGAGTTCTTTTACTCTACTAGAAAAACAACTGCCACAATAACTTAGTTAGAGCCAATGTCCACTAAAGAAATGAGTAAACGGCCAACGTCCAGGAAGCTAGACATTGGCCCTATTTAATATAATGATTTAAAGGCCAAACTCCAGTAGAATTTACCTTTTTTCCTTTTTTGCTGCCTTTTTTCATTTTAAGAGAAATGGACTTAGGCAAAATTATGATCAAAATAACTTGAAAATTAAAATATATTTGGTCATTGGCTATTTTTGTGATAAATGTGTGCAATCGGCTTATTTTAGCAGTGATGTTAAACCAAGGTACAGAAATATACATGTAACAAAAAAAAAACATTTTTAATGGAGAACTATTTATCTCCTCATTGCGCCCTTTATACATGTATGTATAGTAAAACAATATTAGCGTAAAGCAATATATGTAGTTTTTAACGATTAGTTAATACATAATATGCATTATATCATCATACCGTAAAATAATATCTAGTGTGCATCGAAATTTTGGTCATGATTTATTTAAACGAAATGAGTATTTCAATATGTAGTTTTTCTCAATAAATTTTTGATAACGAATTTTATAAACGTTTCATGAATTGATTGTAATATATATGAGCTATATGATTAACTAATTTCCAATAGTATTTAGTTTTTAATTAAAATCTACTGATTGTTTGATTAATTATTAATTTCTTTTAGTATATTATAAATTCATTGAAATTTGTTAATTGTACAGTGTGTTAATAAAGAAAGAGACTCTCTATTATCTTACGTTTTAATTATACTTTATCTTATACCGTAATAAACATGTTTGTTATTCTGTAAATAATTATTTAATACTAATGTCTGTTGATTTTATTTATTTGTTAACTTTTTGTTTTATTTTACTATTTTCATTCTAAAAATAGTTGGCGCTCTACTCTGGCACATACCTCATAATAAATATGCATCTGTGAACAAATTTTTGGACCTAAAACCTTATTCTTTTTCTACTATTATAATTTCATTTAGTTTATTTGTTACCACTTTGGTTGTTAATTTTAGTGTTGTATTTGATAAATACAATGAAAGAAAGGAAATTGCAATATCTCGGACATGTAATGAAAGGCGAAAGATTCAACATCTTGATACTCATAATTCAAGGAAAAATAGAGGGTAGGAGAAGCGTAGAAAGAAAACGCGTTTCCTGGTTGAAGAACCTGAGAGAGTGGTTTGGTTGCAGCTCAAGGCAATTTTTCAGAGCAGTTACCGCGGAGGTCAGAACAGTCATGATGACTGCCAAGACAATCAGGAGAGATTTAAGGACATTTAAAACCGATAATATTAAATGTACTATACCGAAAAATAACAGCTTAAAAGTTCTACGTAGAAAGCTAACGAATGGGAAATACGAAATTCATAAATTAAGAAACAAGAAAAATGAAATAATATCACGTACAGACGAGTTAATACAGGTCGTTGAAGAGTTCTACGAGGAATTATATGGAAGTAGACGAGACGATCAAACAGGAATACAAACAGCTATTTCAAAGAAGATCATGAATCAAGCTTCCGAACTAATACCAGAAATAAAGGTAGATGAGATTCGACAAGCGTTAAGAAAAATAAAAAAAAGCAGTTCCAGGAGAGGATGGAATTGTAATAAAAGCTATCATAAATGGAGGAGATATGCTATTAAATCAATTAAGGAAACTGTTTAATCTATATTTGCAGCAAAGAGAGGTGCCCAAAGAATGGAACATCGCTATAACCATCCTTTTACATAAAAAAGTAGATAGAATGGACCTAGATAATTATAGACCTATTAGCCTGTTGAACCACATATACAAGCTCTTCACTAGGTTAGTGATATCAAGATTGGAGAAAAAATTAGATTTATGTTGTATAGAATACAACAAACCTCTTGTTCTCACTTTCATAGATTTTCATAAAGAGTTCGACACGATCGAAATAGACAGCCTTATAGAAACAATAAATGACAGCAGGATTGACCATAGATATAGTGAACTTATTTACAATCATAGTATCACGAAAAATTGACAACAAAGAGCATAAAATCGCAAAGAATTAAGGAGTTTAAGGGAGGCCTATGTCCAGCAGGGATGTGATAAATGAAGGCTGGATGATGATGATGATGATGATGATGATGTATAATAAATTATTTCCTCTGTAATTTTCCGGGTCCGATGTGTCTCATATTTTTAAGATTAGGATGCTTGATATCCATTCTTGAGGAATTCTTATTTGATCTATTATTGTTTGGATTTGTTTTAATAGTTCTCTAGTCCGATCTGGTCCTCTGTACTTTATGTGTTCGTTCGGTATTCGGTTCTCTCCTAATAAATTTATATTTTTTAATTTCCTTAATGCTTCCTTTACCTCTTTATTCTCAATATTTATTTCTTCGTTTGTCGTCACCTCTGATGATGGGGGTTAATTATCGTTACCTTTAGCAAATAGGGATCGAAAGTAGTCTGACCATGTTTTCTTCGGAATGTGTTTCGTTGTTAGTTGTTGATTTATCTCTTTTCTTTGTCCTCTGATGATTCTCTATATTTCTTTTTGTTCTCCGTAAAAGTCGTGTCCCATCTGTTTTGAGAAGCTCTGCCAGTATTCCCTTTTATAATTCCCTTTTATAATTTGTCTAACTAAAGTAATCGTTTTATTTATGATTCGTTAATAGTAGTGGTATGCCTGTTGTGTTTGTCGTGTTCTGTATTTTAAAAAGGCTTTATTCTTTTCTTCACATTTTGTCTTCACTTCCTCTCTAAACCATAGGGATTTGCATCTCCCGGTAAAGTTAAACAGTTAACAAAGCTATCTCCATATTTTAAAGGATGATTTTTACAGGAGAGTACTATTGTTACTTCCGACAATATTTTAGATATAATGACAAAAAAAGTAAAAAAAAACAACTATATTTACTTTTATCATTATGTATGCTGTTTTTTATTCTTTAATTAAAAACTTGCATATCAGTAAATATTTGTAAGTATGAATTATAATATGCTATTATTTTTGGCATCCCAAGACTTCAGATAATTTAGTTTAAAAGAAATATATTAATGTCGTGAAAAACATTTCTATATAATAAAATTTCTATTTCATACAAATTTCTATTTATAATTTTTTTAAATTAAAAGTCAATTATTTTTCTTAGAAATACTCTTTTTTAAATAAAGTTTCTTATATACCTACTGCTTGGGAAAGTATATAGTATTTATTCTCATATTTTATTTTTAATATTTTTCTTTTACTGTACTATAATGTGATCTAATTCAATAGAGTATTCTAACGACTTTGCTTTAAAATATATTGTCACCGTTATTTCGTAAAATTGCATTGTTAAACTGGCTAGCTCATTTATTCTGTTTTAAGTTCGAAGAATTTGATTTTTTCTTTTGTTATTTTGTGTCGCCAATATACACAAAACGTGTGAAGTCTCATATTACTGTTACCATTGAATTAGATTGTCACTAGTCAGAAACGCTCTATAATGGGGTTGATTTATGGATGCACTTGTCCATAAACCACCTTATGGTTAGAGGGTTCTTTCTGACCATCTCAAGTCTCAAGACGACACTTCCACTCCATCACCGGGACAGCGAACACTAAGCACAGAACATGAGGATCCTTAAGCTAGCGGGGACAAATGAGCGGAATCCAATTTAACCTATGTAATATTGTTTCACCCATTTTTCACTAATTTATTACGACCCTAATAATTTTTCACCACCAAACCAACCTTAAGGGGAGCGATTCTGCTGGCTTAAGGTTCAAGCTAGCAGAATTCAGAAAAAAAACTTTTTGCTTATGGCATATGTTTTCATCAATTTTTCACTAATTTATTACCACCCTAATAATGTTTTACCACCAAACCACCCTTAATGGGAGCGATTTTGCTCCCATTAAGGGTGGGAGGAAATTTTTGGTAGTTTCAAGCTAGCAGAATTCAGAAAAACAACTTTTTGCTTATGGCATATTTTTTCACCCATTTTTCACTAATTTATTACCAACCTAATAATTTTTCACCACCAAACCACCCTTAACAGGAGCGATTTATCTGGCTTGCGGTTAAAATTAGTAGAATTCCAAAAATAATATTTATGATATACCACAGTGATCTGCTAGGTTTTTTATGAATTTATTACCATACTAGTAATTATTCACCCTTCAAATGCTCCATACGAGAAGTCAATAATTCTGTTGGATTAATATTTAAGGTGATAAAAAATCTATTTTTACAATTTGACTGTACTCTTCTTGTAACTGAGAGTATACATTGATTGCCAGGTTTTTATTGAATTTTACCCACCCTCATAAATTTTGACCCCCTAAGCTACAGTTAATGGGAAATATTCAACAAGTTACGCATTCACTCTAGCTAAATGCGAAATCTTTTTGAAAATTTAAAAGTGCTCTGCTAGATTTTTACTATATTTTTATTTATACCAACCTATTAATTGTTTTCTTAAAGGTACACAAGTTTACCTGTTATTTACAAGGTTATAGCTCTTGTCAAAATCCATTAGCTATAACTACCTTAATTAAAAACATTTTGAAATG